TTTCACCGTTGACCTAACAAACAAACGGCGGGGACATGGTAATAAGATTTTCAGGCTCAGAGCGCAAGCACTCAGGCGAAATTTTTTCTCATTCCGGGTGGTAGGTGCGTGGAACGACCTACCTTCGACGGTTGTCCTCGCTCCTCCTATAAACCAGTTCAAAGCGCTACTGGACATTAATTTATGCAAATCCTTGCGCTGGCAAGCATACTGCTCTGCGTTGAGAACATAAAGAGCAGTGCTACACCTTTTTTCACTTGTGCCCTTCAGGTGAACGACAGCCACTGAACGACAGGCAGGAAACCGTCCCCGGGAACTTGGGCAAAAGCCTCGATCCTGTGTATTAATCCGTGAATTCGTGATATGAGGCGGCAGCTACCATTGAGAAAACGAGGACAGGGCGGGGATCGCCAGAGCGTATGAACCATAGCTAAACGATGATGAGGCGTAAGTGACCGAGCCAAACGGTGGCGCACCGCAACGTCGTGTGCGTTGACTGGATGGGTTGTGAGGCGTTCCCCAGGTATGAGGAGCCCTGTCTTTGGCCTGTTTTGTGTTGCTTAGAGTCAGGCAAGACGGGGCACCAGTGATTAAACAGAGCGGTATACAGCCGGATCTTTCGTTATCAACAATGTGACTAATTGAGCGAGTACAAAGTTCACCTTTACAACACCGACACTGACTGACAATTTCACCAGTTATACACAAGAATAAATCAAATATACATTTTGAATCAAGATTATAATAATACTACGTCTGCTGTGGTGGAGAATGTTGGTCGCTCAGATGTCACATATTGTCTTTGGCTTGTTCGCTGAGCGGGGCAAACGTTTTACCACCACGCTTCTCAACAACGCTCGCTAACAACGCATTGATGACATCACCTCGATTAGTGATGAAACGCTTGCAGTCAAATCGCCCAGCTCAGCGGACAAACCAATCACCATAATAATAGGTTTATTTCCCAAATTGTGATACAAGTGAAACTTGTTATGAAAAACGAAGCGGAATTATAGTTGCACCAGTTCAACAAATAAACAAAAACAATTCGCTAATG